GCATACAAAAAGCTCTTATTCCCCCGCGCAGAATGTAAACAGTTAATTAAATCGCGGTAATTACGAAAAGAATCTCCCCTTCCAAGCACTATAGCGCGGGCGTTGTCAGAAGAACATATTTCCTTGGACAAATAGCCTACTTGAAGTAAACAGAAAACCACAACTGGCGCGTTATATTTATAAACAAAAGAGTAGCGATTTTTAAATTTTTCACGCATAACTAATGCACTATCTTAATCAAATTGATGGACTTTCACTCGTATTTGCAAAATTCAATATTGTGGCCTGACCGAAAATGTTCAGATGTGTTCTAAATTTCACCAAAAATACAACATCAAGTAAATGACGTTTTAATACTGTGGTACATTAATTCCATTTAACTCATTTCATTAACTACTACATGAGTTTAAATTAATTCATTAGAAATAACTAAAAAATGATAAAAGGCACCGCTGGCCTCAACTCACGTATTTATGTACGGGCAAGCGTTTCTTCAATTCCTTTAGGGATTAAAAATTTTACCAAACGGATTTTAACCCGATTCAATTTTAGCAAAAAATACTACTTTGACTATCCACCTCATGCAAACTAAAGTGATACACATACAATGCCCCAATCCGGCGCGATACAGTCTCAAAAAAATGTTCATCGCTTTTTCTAGTCGATTTTTCTTACGGCTCTTCTTTCCTATTGGCCAATGATAAGCCTTTGCCGACTCATCTCTCTTAGGAGTATGTATCGATCACTGTATTGACCTTGAATAACATCGCATATGTACTATTACGATAACATTTTTGATATTAACAAGCTTTCAGTTTGTATTTGAAATATTGGGTTGCACTTTGGAACCCGCGAAGTCAGTCGGTGTTTATATCAGGACAATTTTCAGAAGCGCCTGTTATTACCTATGAAAATATCACTAAGGGATAATGCAAGAAAGAAGGTTCCCTGTTAAAATCCACATAAACCGGAAGTAATTTTTATCCAGTCTTCCAAATGCGTTAACTGAAGTTTAAATATACAAGGAAAGGCGAAAATTAGAATGATTTACGCACGCACGTGGTTAGAAACACCACCTGCGCCGCCCCCCTCCCTCTCCGCTCGGGCCGCCGGGACAGGCGAAGGCGCAAATCCGTCTCTCTTGTCACCGCGTGCGCCGGCTTTGCAAACCCTCTTAGCGCACACGCCCGTCCTTGTCGGCATGTGCGGTTTATGACAACCCAATTTGCGCCCCCCGCGAAATTGCGACCCACCCCCAGCCAGCGGCTCCGCCTAAGTGCCACCGCGCGGTCCCACGGGTGGTCTCTGCAGGTTTCGTAGCCTTTTTCCCACGCGGCCCGGAGCACACCCCCCCGCCCACGCCTCGTGGTAGCCACCCCGCTCCAGGGAGGGGCGGGGTTCTATATATTTCGTGCGCACAAAACCGCGCCCAGCAGAGGGACACACAAGACATTCATTGTTGAGATAGTGAAACATGTGAAGGCGAGGCACGTTGAGCACGCGTCTGCCACGTCTGCCTCCGCTTCCTGACACATGTCACATCATTTAGGCCCTCAGACTTGCTCGCATAGCGATTGGTCGACAACCAGGACCGCCCATCTCGGCATTCACGCAGGGTTGAGGCTGGCGTCCACCTCACAATTAAAAAACTGGGCCACGACAAGCGGCGCCATTGCCTGGTTCATCGCGTCCGGGCGGGCTTGCCAGGCATTCGCTCCAGAGTCCACTTGTACGTGTGTTCAGCCGACGCTCCGCCGCGGCGAGACATCGAGGACGAGGCTCAGCGCCTTCAGAGATAGCAGGTACCTGGTTTCTGCCCCTTGAGGCTTACAGAGCCCAAGCTTCTCAGGCTTCAACCATGCCAATGGAAACATTATATCGACATTAATTGGCAGTTTGACACTGTGTTCTCATCATCATTCACTTTGTGTCAATTTAGAATTAATTTGTCATTGTAAAATTAGTTTTGATTAAGTTTTAGATTTTAGTTTTTCTGTATAATAACCTTTTGTAGTTTTCCACCGCTCGGGCCCCGGGGCACGCATTTTGTATATAGAGTTTTCACAATTGTTTTTGTTGTCATTCCTCTCTTAGATTGTAAGTTTACATTTTATTATTGCCAAGAGGCAATATTACTAATTAATTAACATTCTAAGCTATTCCGTTTTTGTGCTATGCATTCCGGCCATCCCTCATTGTGCCTCGTACGAGGTGGTCCTCCATCCCTTTTACTTTAGTCAGCCCTCTGGCTACATCGCCTGAGCTACCGCGAGGCCGATAGTGTGCCTGTGCTGTGCCCGTCTAATAGCCAACGGTCACGGTCCACGCTGGTTGGCTCATCATTGTTGCGTGGCGCCGTATGTGACTAGTGGGTCTGCGCGCGTACCGAGGTGAGTACCGCGTCTGCACGCGGCTCGCCACGACACGGACGCGCGGTGCGCAATTACAAGATGTGAATTATTAATTTGCGCTGTAACAAATCATGGTATTTGGTAATTCATACGATTTATTAAGTAGTACAATTTTATTTGTAGAGATTTTTATTTAGAAAACGTTCTTTCACTTTAAATAAATACATATTCCAACTAATACATATTCAACTAAATAGCATATCAACTAAAACAATATTCAAGACCTTAAATACATATTCAACTAAATACATATTCAACTAAATACAATATTTCAACTAAATTACATATTCAACTAAAGTACATATTCAACTAAATTTACATTATTCAACTAAAACATATTCAACTAAATACATTATTCAACCTTAAAATAACATATTCACTAAATACATATTCAAACGTAAACATATTCAACTAAATACATATTCAACTAAAATACTATTCAACTAAATACATATTCAACTAAATACATATTCAACTAATTACATATTCAACTAATTACATATTCAACTACAATACATATTCAAACTAAATATCATATGCAACTAAATACATATTCAACTAAATACAATATTCAACTAAATACCATATTCAACTAAATACATATTCAACAAATACCATATTCAAGCTAAATAACATATTCAACTAAATACATATTCAACTAAATACATATTCAACTAAATACATATTCAACTAAATACATATCAACTAAATACCATATATCAACTAAATACATATCAAAACTAATTAACATATTCAACTACAATACAATTCAACTAAATACATATTCAACTTAGAATACATATTCAACTAAATACATATTCAACCTAAATACATTATTCAACTAAATACATATTCCAACTAAATACATATCAACTAAATACATATTCAACTAAATACATATTCAACTAAATACATATTCAACTAAATACATATTCAACTAAATATATTCAAATAAATTCAACCAGTTTACATCCATTTGTTGTTCGAGCCTTGCCCTGATTCACACTTACCGCGGGATAAAATACATTAACAAATATATTGCAAATATATTAAGAAATATTTTTTAATATTTAGCTTACTGACTCTTATAAGAAAACTAAGTCGGATTGACATACTCTGAATGCGCCTTTGACTAAGATTAGACTAACGACTTTCTCCAAAAAACTACTAAGTACCTAGGAACACTACCCTAATGAGATCTATAGAGAATGTGGTAGTTACTTTTAAAATAATATACCCCGTCACTTACGTACCAAGAACCATTCTTAACTAAAATTCTTTACTCAAATAGCTACTAAATTTGACTGATTTAATTTAAAAAACTGTAAAGTATGTGGTAATATATAGAAAAGGTTCTTTCAATATATTTCTAACAAATATAATAGTTTCAACAGATTAATACAAAATTGTTAACAGATACTGTGACAAGGGAATTTCCAGTTCTACCAGAAGATGATTAAGGGATCTTTACCTGCTAATACGCCAATAATTCAGTAACACATTACACACACTCTATTGAATGCGTACAGACAACTACCAAACTTGTTCTAATAGTAACGTACAATATGTCAGTGTCGACTTGTCGGTATATTGAAAACGTCTGCCATGCCTGTAAAGGGATTTGAATTAAAAAACTATAAAAAGCGCAATTCATTGGTTTCACGCCCTTCGTTTCTTTATTTCAACATTAACGTTCATTAGATCTAAAGGGAACTCTTTCTGTAGAGGAAATCAGTTCGGTCAATGGTCCATAGTAACGATCGCTATTGAGAAACTGCTCTCCAAAGTTTCACAAAATTCGAGTAACTGGCCGCACTTTTAGGCGCAGCTAACCTTGCCTTAAAGGCAATTTCAAGTTAATTGAATCCAATCCTTTGAACAACTGGGGCTAAAAAAAGGTGGAATGGAAGTTTATCGTTTACTTGCTACTTCCAATATATATCCAGATTCTGTAGACGCTTCAAAGAGACCCTATTACATTCCCTATTTGCAGCTATTTACCACCGCCATGCTTCCAAGATAAATAGAAATCACTAGCGATTGAAAAAAAATTTAAGAGACATTTTCTAACTTACAGAATGAAAGTGGTAATCTCATAGTTTCACTGAAAAATCTTTACACAACACTACTGTGGTAAAAGTTAATGTTTGTGATGATTTTAAAGGCATTTTAACCTTTTTTGTCAACGAACATTGTTTAATTATGGTCATCAAGATTTATGGCCATCGATCTATTTTTAATATAACAATAGTAACAATAGATGATACGAAATAGTTGCGGAACCAAAACTCATGATGGATGTTTCGTCGATTATCATCACATCTGTTTTTAAAATTGGGATTAATGGTTGAAAATTGGATCATGTTAGATTAAATTACGTTTATATTTATATTATTTACATTGAATGATTAACCAAAGCAATTCCATTAGACTGCATTAAAGCTGACTTGAAACAATAGAAATGCAAAATACAAAAAAGTATTTTATTGTGCAATATACGGGCAAAGTTGAACTCATAAGGCAAAGAAACTAGGGTACGTAATGTTTGAAATTTCCTGAATGTTTAAACAATCTCTTGTCAAGCACATTTTAAAACCAATTTTCAAATAAAAAACTAATTAAATAAGAAATGGTATTTTTCTGCCTACCTTTCAATTTACTGATCAAACGGCATCTTAATTTCACTGACTTTTCAAAATTCGTATCTCTTTATTGGGCTTGATGAAACAGCAGCTCGCTCATATGTCCTACCTTCTAGTTCTGCAAAGAAAACCGACCATCGTACACATTCACTTACATACAAGCACTGTTGATAAAACAAAATATTTTCCAACTGTAAAACAAAAAAAAATAAATGAACTTAGCAGGGTAAACGCGAAGAAAGGAAACGTAATGGACATCAAAGCAAAAATATATTTATTTTGTATCAGTTTTTCGAGCGTAATTCGGTTTACTGACGTAATAACCTCAGCGCACCGGCGCTTTCGCTGAAAAATGCAAACTGTTTCCCGGATGGAGTGTTTGTCTGGAAATAAATAGAAGTCAAATATATCAAACGATCAAAGGATCGCCGCGTGAGCTTCCACCACAAAGTCCGAAAAACAAATGAGAAACGGCGCGGCGTTTTAGTCGTTTTCAGTGAACCACTGGCGAAGCGCCCTCTTCGTGGACACAACCGGGGCGCTCAGGATATTAATGGCAGATCGCCACCGACCTCGCGTTTTCAGTTAGAATTAGGACGGTGAGCTCCTGCCATGTACTACCTATCTAATGCCGAAATATTAAATGAATTGGAATTCGGTGCAACCTTCAAATTTCACCTTCAAAAGTTTGTCCTGAACAAAAATGCACGTGAACGAAAATATAAAACATTTTTTTAAAATGAACTTCGGTTGGGATCTGCCGTTATTATTCTGAGCGTAACTATCTTAAAATATGAAGACTGGAGAACTAGATTGTAAACTCCAATGAATGATATGTTCGAAAATCGTCCTCACTTCAAACGGCGTTGATGATAGAAGATTACGGTGATGCACCATGAAATGATTTCAGATCAGAATGTTATATTACATTACTATGTGAGGAGAAAACATTGAATTCCTTTTTAAGGATATTGCGCACATGGACGTAGTGATATTTGAGGTTTACGTGGAGGAGAGCAGATAGCGAAATTTTATATGTGTGTGTAACAAATATATTAAGTAAAATAAAATATGTAGCGTGTAGATGCAACCTGCAACACATGGAGTACATTACTGAAGCGTACAACTCGAATACGTTGTATTTAAAACCAGGTTTTCGTGTCCCAAGGGAACACAGGGTTTTATTTTTTTATTCCCTAACCTACAAAATAAGATTTTTGGACGTTTTCTTTCAAGGTTAGCTTTTAAAGGTAGGAACACGGTGGTTATGGCAGAAAAGTTTGAAGAAATCCATTTGGATACATAAAAAAGAAGTCATCTTACACAATTTAAAAAAATCAATTGCGGAAGATAACTTCTTTTTTCCACTTTACAAGAAGATTACTTTGCTTGCTCTGTATTTTCATTTGGAAACATATTGTTATCAGTATATATGACTTCTGGATGTATTTGCTATGTTGGTGGCTGAGATCTCCAAAGCAGTTTCTCACCTAGGGAGTTTCCAAAAATACCCCTGTTGGTACGTCACTTAATTCAAAATAATGGGCTAAAATAATAAAAAATCAGTTATTGTGTTAAGTCTGATCCTGTTCAAAATACTTGTATTTCATTTAAAACTTTAAATTATCATTGAAGAACTGAATGTATTCTTAATAATTAATTATTAATAATTCAATAATGTTTAAGAGCACAAAAATGCGTAAATTTTTCACATTTCAGCTAGTAACCTTAATTATGATTCTGAACCTAATCCTCTTCTGTCACACGATTAGAATGATTATGAATCAATGATGAATGATCGGCAGGTGTGGTGTGTCAATCGACATTTTATCTCGGATACTGAGAGGTGGAAGGAGAGCTGTCTGTCCATATCACCACAGGTTGCCCAGAAATCAAGACGTTAACTCATTAACATTCAACATAATTTTGAGATGTAGTGCTCGGCCATTGACGTAGCGTCCGTGTGTGCAGAGTCATTGTTGGGGGACTACTTGTTGACAGCTTGTTTTTGCAACTTGTAGCGTTAAATCATTGTTACGGTTCTAAATTATACTACAAGAGCGCTCCATCGCGCCAACCGCTGATTATATGGTAACTTATTATTATAAGAATGTAGCAAAACCACTACCTTCGGAGCATATGCCCATATCAACTTCGGTGCGGAGCAACACCCGTTTGCTTTACCTCGGCCTCTCCCTCCGAATTAACCACAGGCGTAAAGCAGATACGAACCGGTTTAGATATACATTCGAAACAACGCGAGTCGTGAACACACACTGGCCAGAAATGTGCAATACTTTATCGAAGTATCTGGACATTAGCAAAGGACGATACGAGATCAAAAGGTTAAACTGTGCCCATATTCAAAATATCCCTGGTTCAGTGAAGTAGGGGGGAAAAGTAATGTGCATTGATGAAAATACGTAGGTTCGTGATAATTTACTTGACACCTAGAAAAGATGAAACAAAACTTGAGGAAGAAAGCAAAAGCCGCATCGAAAAGATAGAAACATGTTAAAATGTCCAAAAAGCATTTTATATTTGTGGGTGTTTCATACGTTTAAAATTCAATCAAAGTTTCTAGTTTTGATAGTTGAAGATCTATCATGTGTGTACCTTCAAAAAATTGATTTACATTCCATTTACCTTCCTTATCCGTAACCTTCTCTTGCCTAGACGGTTTCTGGCAAATAGCACATAACTAGAAAAAGGAAAAGTGTAGCATTAAACGTCAATATATTTACGTAAATATGTAATGAAAACAGTACGAATATGTAATAAATATGTAAAATGTATAATATTAAAATACTTTATTTATAAAGCACATTTACGTAATACCAAATTACATATATAAAAATTCATAAACAAATTTTAAAAATAATACAAACTTTTTAAAAATCATTTGGAGAGCACAAGATGACGCATATTTTGCACCATACAACTTTCACGTCAGTAGTAAAATTTTAATCTATTGTTATCCAAGACCGTAGTTAAGAGCCAGAGAAGGCGCATGTAAGCAAGGTTATATACACCTTGAGCCAAACTAGACGCAATAGAAGCCATTGTGATATCTACGACCAGGAAACAATCACTGCGTGCAACATTCATCGCAGGGTTTATCGCAGGGCTTCCACGTCGGCGATTGCCAAAGATTCTCGGAAACTATGGTTGAAGGTCAGGAAACGCGGCGATAACGATGCTTTTCACATCTTGAATTCACCAATAAAGAAGGAAAAAGTTTTTCGAAAACTTCATAAAACGTAATAAAATTAAGAAACATTGATCAAATAAAAAAAATGTGAAAAAAACAAAAAATGTAATATAATACTCAATATGTAAAAATATGCTGTGTTGTGTAATAACGAATAAAAGGACATTGTGTTAGGAGAGCGACGATTTGTCAAGTTTACAATTTTGAGAACGGTAAGTAGAAAGACAAAAAATATGTAATTGCACAAAAATCCTATATGTAATAACCATCCGACTGATAACTTCGGCAGTCCATAGCTGATAACATTTCCACCCGTGATAGGTTACCTACGACTGATTCTCTCTTGCATTAGCATTGCTTTGTTATTCTACAAGTGTGCCCTATGATAAAATATTGAAATTGATTCTCCGGAAGTCCTAGTTAGCTCCAAATTCTATCAGTCATAGTTTCACAGGAAAAGGCGAGAGATGCATAAAATTCGCGTATAACTCTGAAGAGAGAAACGTGGCCTGTATTTATTACTCAACCAACCGACGTTATTACAAAAGTTCGAGAACGAATCACCTGAAGAAGTTCGCAACTAAGAAGTTAGGGAAACTTTTAAAGTGTACTCGAGATTAAGAAAAATAATGGTAAATTATTGGATGTTTCGAAGTCCTGAATTTGTGTGTGTACCATTTCTTACATCCTAGATGAAGCCCATCTCGATAAAGTTTCTCACGAGAGAGGAAGTTTTGTAGTAAAAATACAACGGCGGTAAATTTTAATTTTATTAGAAAATAGTCACTCTCTTTACTAGAGAGATTACATTTATAAACCAAACTTCTTTTAAATCTGAATTCGGTTATCATATTACTCGTTTATTGCATTACTGCTTTGAAATCATGTTTTATCATAATATACTTCCGAGGCAAAAGTTAGTTTTCCTGTTTTTAGGCGAAAAATCCCAGAAATATATAATAAATATACATTATATTTGGATTTATTTCATACAAATTCGTGAGAATAGCAATATTATAATCTATTGTTAGAGTGTATCATTCATAAATTTATCAAATTGATCATTTCAAAAATTTTCAATGAAAATAAGCTATAGAATATGCAAAGTGCTATATATATAATTATTATGGATGTTCTTTAAACATTTCAAATTAGATTTCTTGAATATGTTATGTGACAGGACGTAACATTTTTGTAGATATCACCAATTTACAATATTCCTTCAAATCCAAAATAGATTTTTACTTCCACACGAGATAAAGTTCATTTGAGTATTAAGAACTGTTGAGAAAAAATCATAAAATGACGTAGTCATAGGTGAAAAATATAAAATTGGATGTGTAGAAAATATTCAATTATGCATCAAGATGGGTTAATTTATCCGACTCCTTTGTGAGCTTTCTATCTTGTCACGTTCGCTTTTAAACTTTCTTTGGTGTTTTTTTTTCTGTTATTTTTTGTCGCCATCAACGACTAAGGTATTAGGCGACACATTTTTAATTACAGGTGTTTACAGACACTTATGACTTCTCTGTCATTACATAAACAAAAGTATCAGAAGTATTGCGTTTCATAACATAATATATGTATCACATATTACTTAATCTACATACCATCATTCATACAGAACAATTCAGGCATTGCGTTTCATAACATATTTTTCTGCAGGGTTACACAACATTACATTAACATAATATAACATATAACATAACATATATAAACATATAAGTTATTAAAACTATTGGATATCTTAACAACATTGTAACACAATCATACCAATATCATTCGGGGTAGGATCATCAACAC